ATTCAAAATTACTTAACTTATTCAAAATATATGTTTAAAAATCTGATATTGTGCCTTGCTTGCCGTACTGCTCTAACTAGTGTAATATTTGTATCTCACGCGCTTTGTCGCTCAAAATCTGTTTAAAAATCTGATATCGTGCATTGCTTGCCGTCCCGCTCTAACTAGTGAGTATTTATTATCTCACGCGCTTTGTCGCTCGATATCTGATATCGTGCATTGCTTGCCGTCCCGCTCTAACTAGTGAGTATTTATATCTCACGCGCTCTGTCGCTCGATATCTGATATCGTGCATTGCTTGCCATCCCGCTCTAACTAGTGAGTATTTATATCTCACGCGCTTTGTCGCTCGATATCTGATATCGTGCATTGCTTGCCGTCCCGCTCTAACTAGTGAGTATTTATATCTCACGTGCTCTGTCGCTCGATATCTGATATCGTGCATTGCTTGCTGTCCCGCTCTAACTAGTGAGTATTTATATCTCACGCGCTCTGTCGCTCGATATCTGATATCGTGCATTGCTTGCCGTCCCGCTCTAACTAGTGAGTATTTGTATCTCTCGCGCTCTGTCTCTCGATATCTGATATAGTGCATTGCTTGCCGTCCCGCTCTAACTAGTGAGTATTTGTATCTCATGTATGATATCGCGATTCGTGTCGGTATAGCGAGCGAGCACGTTACATCAGATTTCGGAAATATCAGATATTGTAATATACATAGATATTGAACGAGCCAGTAAGCGATATTCGGATATTGTACTAATATCTAGTTTTCATATCTGATACGATATGTATCGCCCACCACTATTATGACATTATCATCATTATACACTCGTTTATTAGACTGCGTGTTGTATGGATCTGAGGCTCGGACCATTTAAGATGTTAAAAGCGTACCTATACAAGCTGTGGACATACAACAGAAAAATCATCACTACCATTGGTACATATGTTTGTAATATTATCTTGTTTTACTCCCTTTGTCAAAACACTGTGTGATTTTATCCATGTAAATAATATTAAATGTTAATGTATTTAGATTTTGTAATGTGTGCATCTGTGACGTGTATAATTAAGGTGATGGGATTTAAATGTGCAAATGTCTCTACTTTCAGGTCGGAAATCTAAATATAATCTTAAAATTTTATCTGATCTTTAAGAATAAACGTCACTCCCTTGACTGACATGATATTGGCAGAATCCTTTAAAGAGAAGTCATTTATTTAAGAAAAAAGAACAAATTTTTGACATTTACATAGTAGTAGACAATTTAAAGTTATTTAATTAAACCGATAACAATTGCATTTAATGTCTTTTTCACAAACAAAGAGCTTACTCTGGTACAGGAGATTAAATTTATCAGTTATTTGTCTTTTGTTACGCCACAGAAGTATAATTCTTACGTGCGTACATAAGTACCTACACACATACATTTTTTATTTACACATTGGTCGTAATAACTTTAAACGTAATATATTTCAACGTATTTTCGAGATATTAAGTATTTTATTAATCTTGTAACGCTTACATTTACTTATTAATTTCCCGACGCTTTGATCACTTTACTATATTCAGGGCCATGCGATAGCCGAATAAAAGCTGTAGTCTGTTTAACGATAATTTATTTAATTGTATTAATAATGGGATTCTTACCCGATGCGCTCTTTGTTGTGGTTACTACTCCTGACCTTTATCGGTCAAGGCGACCGCTTCAGCTCCGTTGTTTTAAGCGTTCATGAGCTTTAGCGTGACTCGCATAGCCAATTTTGTTGACAAAATATGTCCTCGCGCGTAATGGACATGTGAGCACACCACTGATGTAATTGTAGCTTATTGTTGCAGGTGGTCGGGCTTTCAGCTCGTCCCGTCTGATGTCTAACTCAGTACATCGACGGGACTCAAATTGAGAGGTCACTTTTTTTTTACAAGAGACCTTCATTTAGAGTGGGTAGCTGCGTGATTCTCCGACTGTGACGGGTCCATACCACAGTTTTTCATATGGCGCTTAAGCACATTTTTGTACCTTAGGAGTTGCCCTCCATGCTTTCGCTTGCCCTCCTCAAGTTCGGAATAAAAGACGCGCTTAGCCATTCGACCCTCTGCCATCCTCGAAACGCATCCGCCCCAAAGAAGATGGCGACGCATAAGGTAGACCTCAATTCCAGATACTTTAACTCACCGTAAAACTTCGGTGTCCCATCGCAAAAACGCGGTCGGACCAGCTGATCTTTCCCTTAATTGCACAGTATTTTTTCTGTTAGTACAGAAAAAAAGCTTTACTGCAATTTAAGGTTTTATTTAGGTGCAAAATTAAAATCTGCAGCGTTTAATACAGTCAGAACTATTTGTAAATGGAGTGTGTGAGTTTTTCGCTTTATTTGAAATTAATTTTTCAACCATACTTCCAAATCCGGCATCTTGTAAGGCAATGACGATTTTTATACACGACAAGTTTATTATTTTTACTAACGAAAAACAAAACTGATATCTCGTTCTGTATTCATTTTATAATTGATTTTCCGGAGTTCCCTAAGTATCCAGAACCCAAGATCCAATACCAATGAAAAGTGTTAATCAATACGGTATCGGCGACATTTTGCTATCCGCGACATTGGATAGTATGGAATGAATATTTACACTATAATTATTCAATAACAATAAGTATTACCTTTTATCTCACAAATATTATGAGATTAAGATATTTGCACGCAAAAAGGCCGGAAATGTTTAACTCGCTGTTGCAATCGAGATTATTTAAATTAACTCGCGATTTAAATTAAGATTTATTCAGAAACTTGTTTTCTTGTTTAATACCCCAAATAAATGTTCTTCTTCAGCTTCCACATAAGTATAATTGATTCAGAATTTTTTTCTTGAGAACATGTTCATATCATAAAATGCTATCCCCGCTTGCCTTTAAAAATACAAGTACTAGGTAGCTAAAGAATATAACATACAGGCGTGAATTTCTGCGACTTTGTTAATAACAATATATAGAAATTTTATGTAGAAATGTATAAACTACGCAACGGTTCTTGATGCGGTTTTTTTTACTAGATAGAGTGATTCAAGAGGAAGGTTTATCTATATCTATATTATTATATAAATATAAAAATGAATCCCTATTTCCCTTGGTCACGCCATCACGCGTGAACGGTTGGACCGATTTCACTTTTTTTGTTGTATTTGTTATTATCAGAAGAAGGTTCTTATGAAAAAAAATTAAAAAATTGCCTGAAAAAGTCTAAAAATAACACTTTTATATATTCCCGTACAAAAGATTCGTAATAATACTTAAAAGTCAATTTGAACTTTAATACCATACCATAAGGTTTAAGTGTAAGTGGAGGGGTTCCGGGAAGGCAAAACAAGTGAGTGACTGTGGTAAAATGTCACTTGAAATGTAAACGTCTCATTATTGTGCATCACTACATATAAAACAAAATCGTCCCGCTGTCTGTCTGTCCCTATGTATGCTTAGATCTTTAAAACTACACAACGGATCTTGATGCGGTTTTTTTTACTAGATAGAGTGATTCAAGAGAAAGGTTCATAGGTTCATATGTCACAAGAGAAAGGTACATTGCACCCGTGCGAAGCCGGGGAGGGTCACTAGTCTATAATACATTGTACGTGTGTAAAGCTGCAGCGGTTCGCTAGTTTTAATAGTAAAATATACAGCGTGGCGTTACCATCGCGACAATAAATGAACACAGGTTTAACGCTACTTGCCAATAATCATAAAAAAATATTAACGTTAAACAAAATCCATAATTAAAAAAAAATATTTTTCAAACAAACTAATTAAGTAAAAAAGAAACAAAATTTGTAACATCCTATACAACTCGCGCCACAGTGTCGTATTACAAGCTTCTCCTTCTAACAGTATGTTTTGTCTCTTTTAAATTCATTCAACCCATTCATATACTTTGTGACCTTTACAAATGAACTTTACAAATGAACTTTACGTTACGCTTTTGTAGGTGAGGGTGCTCTAAAATTCTTAGTTTTGGAAAATTTAATAACTCTGTAAATATTGATGTTCAAAGAATTTAAACGTTTAATACAACTTTAAAAAGTTATCCCCTATATGTGTGTTCATTTATTGTCGCGATGGTAACGACACGCTGTATAATTTGTAGGTTCCAGTTAACATAATAAGATAGGTGGTATTCAGTCTACTTTATATCATAAATTATAAATTAAGTGTAGATTAATTATTTTTAATTAATTTCTATCAAAAATAACAACTTACAAAAAAAATGCTTTTGTGCGTGCCATCAAAATGTTCAAACAATGGAATGAAATTGGAATAATGTATCTGTTCAAATAGGCCTTATTTTCTTACACACACATGCGCCCACATACACAAACATACAAGCTCGCAGAATTGGCACTCTTTCTTAGTATAAGTAAAGAATTTGAAAATTATTAGTACCTATTTTGTCTATGCGAAATGTTCGCACAGTGATCAGTCACTGAATGGGAATAATATAATGATGTGAAAATAAGTAATTATCAATGCAAGGTATTTCTTTTTAAAGAATAAAATTTTTTAACTTTCATTTAATTTAATTGTCAATAGATGGTATTATTGTACAATCTTTAGAATGACTTTATACGAAAGTTTTTTTATGACAAGTTAACAGTTAACTTAATTTTATTCTATTTGTTTATGCGTCATTAGCGGCAAACATAAACTTTAAAATGGTATTTGAAATCATTAAATATGATGAAGAATTATGGAACTCACGGTGTGAGCTTTAAGAAATAAACTACATAGTATAAAACAAAGTCGTCCCGCTGCCTGTCTGTCCCTATGTATACTTAGATCTTTAAAACTACGCAACGGATCTTGATGCGGTTTTTTTTACTGGATAGAGTGATTCAAGAGGAAGGTTTATATGTATAATACAATGCACCAGTGCGAAGCCGGGGCGGGTCGCTAGTAATTATATAGAGAGTAGTGTAGATTTTACTAAATTTTTTTTAGAGAGTTACTTACGGAATGCTGCTAAGCCGGCGCCAAAGGCCAGTTGCTGGTGCGGCAGCAGCATCGGTCGTGGGCACAGCGGCATTGGAGCTGGTGGGGCCCAAATTTGCGGCATCCTATTTCTAACGTCCTCGTTATCACCTATTTCGACATCCGAACAAGAATCACTGTCCGACTCGGCTTTCCTATGTAGCGTCTCCTTTTGCACTTCCGTACTCTGCGTATCTTCCAGATGCCCGTAGATCCGCGCGAAAAACTTCCTCGGGGACGAAGGACGCGTCGTTTGCATCGAAGTGTCCTTCCGCATATCGTGACTGTTAAGATCTTTGCTCATTTTTCTGTACACTTCACCAAAGTTTTTCTTCGTTAATCACAAATTTCCAACACTCTGTGCGTATATAATCAACTTCCGTTTATACACAGAGCATTGTGTATTTTTTATTGAAAGAATAGAAATAAAACTGAGCCAATATGTTCAATTCGTGTGCATTATGTTTAGAAAATCGAACGGTATCACAAAGTCCGTTCGCGGCACACGTGTTGTCCTATGCCCATAAACACGTGGATTGCGGTCAGCGCGTCAGGTGCGTCCGAGATCCCTCGGGAACCCTGGCCACGCCTACTCAAAATTTGTCCCTTCTGACGGAAGCTGCGATACAGTGGAAGGAGGCGCGAGCGGCCAATAGCAACGCTTAATGCGGCCGTAACCAACCCCTAAGGCGGGCTTAGAGTTGGTTGTATCCCGAATTATTCGTAATATTACTGACATTAGTGCACCCAATTCATTTAAGTTACAGTAATAGCTTCTACCGTTTCCTTCTTGTGTTTTTTTTCTATGAGGTTTTATGAAACATTATTCTTTGACACGTTCAAAAGACACGTCAGTTTTAGAAGTTAACTTTTTCGTTTGTATATTTCATTTGGGTTGTTTTCATTAAGAGTCTTCCATTGGAAATTCAATTCTGTAGAGACTTTAGTTAATTTCTTTACCTATTCCTCGCCTGTTTTTACCTGTGAGAACAAGGGTACAAGTGAAATACCAACTTATGCAATTCAGGAACATGTTATTAACATATTACTTACCAAGAATTTTGACTGCACAGAACTAGAATCCCAGAAACAGCCTCCTCCGCTTTGTCGTGTTATATTAAAAAAAATCACTGTTTGAAGTCGCAAAAAACTGGTACACATTCTATCGTAAAGACATGAAATTACTTTATTACTTTATTTAAAACAAACTTGATTTAGTAAAATATAAAACCTTTATAAATATCTCCAAACTTTACTCGTCTGCTATTATAGTTCCTACTATCGAAAAACAAATTAAGCATAGTTCATTCTTGCAAACAATAATTTCTTAATATAAAATTATTAAAATGTAAATCATTTTAGAGCTCTTGATGCAAAGAGTTTAATAGCTTGAAGCTCACCATAAAAAGTCAGTTTTATGTCAACTATTGTCAATGAATTAGAAATTTAATGATCAGGTATTTTTTCATGCGTCAAATAATGCAGAAAAATGGTGCACTATTAACGGCCACTTGTGTACTGTTGCTTTTTACTTTTAATTATACTTTACCGATGCGAAAGGACACATTGAAACCTGACAAATCTACTTATAGAAATGGTAAGGTAGTCAATGAAGGATTGTATAATTTTGTAAAGTACGAAACGAATAAGGTAGTACGAAAGGAATAAGATGGTACTGCGATAAGAGCAAATCACCTGACGGCACACTGTGAAGGATCTAAGAGGCGTGCCTCCTGAAAGTCTACGTTTAACTGTCGACTACCGCAGGCTGACGATGATGATTATGACGATGAAACTATCATGATTGACAATAAACTTATGAGAACTCTCGAAAACAGGGAAAGATTTAAATAAGAAAAAGACTGAACTATTTAGATATTTAAACACACAAGTCATGCAAGTGTGCAATAGGTACCAACTGCAAATATGTCCATTTCCCTAAAAAAGAATTACTTATTACGTAGGTACCCGTATGTCTTTAGGTGGACCTGATAGTAAATTATAGCCGCTACCCAAATATTAACACAACACCCGGTGCCTGAAGTTACGTTACGCATTTAGAGATGTGCCCCGGTTACGTCACTCACCATACGAACAAAAAGTTATTTTTTCTTCTACTTTAAGCTAGACTTCTGTAAGGCCATAGAACCTTTCCGCATAGGCTTGCCTCTACACGTGTTTCTTACATTCTTACAAAAATACTTTCGGTTAAATAATTGACAGTTAATAAATTTGAACTTAGGATTGGTCCTAAAAACACATAATGCCATTTTTATCAATATGTGGGTTCAAAACATCCTTTGATAAGCACAAACATAAATCAGTAATTCATGCAGAATGTATAAGTATATTGAGGTATATTCTTGTAGTAAATAGGTTACCTATGCCCTTATTATTTATTTATTTTTAAAATAAATAATAAGGGCATACCCTTATTATTTATTTTTTTCAAATACAGATACATTAACATGTCACGGAGGTCTTCAACATGATACTTATATTGATAAAATGAAAAACATGCCAGCTGATTTTCAGAACGTAATAAGGAAAATAAGAAATTCAACTCAAAAAGAGATAAATGCTTTTTTGGGTCTTAAAAATTTTTCGAAGGAAAACTTGCTTAGCGAAGAAGACATTCGACATTATGAACAGTTAGTTATTATGAAAAAGTATCCGTATTTGGATATTAAAGAATTAGAAATGAAGTATAGTCCAACATCAAACAAAGATACAAGGCAAAGCGTAAAGTTTCATTCTCGAGTAAATATTCCACCTGAATCAGGCATTTGCGAACCTGCAGAAGATACAATCAACGTAGAAATAAGTAATCGGGGACTTTCGGGATTTGCCATTCCTACACAACTTGTTAAGCACAATAAATTTAAAAGTGATTTAGAAAGTAACAAGCAGAAGGCTGAAAATACCGAAAGTTTTGTAAGGAAACCCACAGACAAAAATATTTTGACCATGTTAAAAGATGATATCAATATGTATTTACAAAAAAATAAAATAAAATAAGACTATACAGCTACTTATCTTTGACACTAGCGACAATATGTTAAAAATTAAGAGTTTCAGTGGTATAAAAATCAAATGTTACAAACTCTTTCTTTACATGATTACAATCAATAAAAAGTTTTATGTATTAGTGGTGAAGGCTATGAAATAATTGTATAAACATGATAATTCTCAATAGTGTCATTTATTTCATTAAAGTACCGGAAGAACATGTGAAGCATACGTACTTTTTTTAATTTGATAATTTGGTAAGCTAGCAGGTGGTTCGCCTGATGTTAGTGGCAACCACTGCCCATGGACTTCTGAAACTCCTTAGGGATGGCAGATGTGTTACTAACTTTGATAGAATTGGGCCGCAGCGAACTCACTATACGAAGCTCAACAAGTGCATTTTAGTATTACAAGAAACAAAATCGTCTTCAAATATCTCATGCACTAATCATTGTCTATTTGAGTTTAAGGAGTTTCTTGACCTCCGGAGACCAAGGACCAATAACTATATAATTAATATGGAATAGTTCTTAAATGACGTTTCTTAAACGAAGTTCTCAGAGAACAAACACAAAAAATGCTACTGAATTAAGAAATTCCTCCTTTTTTTAGGTACCCAAAAGGTAAAAAGAACCCTAGGGCTCCGCTGTCTGTCTGTCTTCCCCTTTTTATAGATAATGGCACTGAACACTTCGTGCACGAGTCCGACTCAAAATTGGCCGGTTATGAAGTCAGTTGATAATGTAACACTTCCACTTCAAAAATTGGTCTACTGTGAAGGCATGGGACTTTCGCGTATAAGCCTGTCCATTCATGTAACAGCAGAAGCTGCTGCGTGATACCATAGAGGAAACTTCTCAATTCCAAATATTTAAGAAAAACTTACTTTTCCTTAAACCTATTTCTATTACAGTGGAACTTTCAGAAGATTCAAATATTCGTAAACTCATAGATTGATTGTTTCAGTAAACCTGGAAAATAAAACCATAAATATACAACTCGTTTACTACAATAGAACATTTATCATGGTCATAGAACGTAAAATATAACTTTAAAATTTTACATAGTTAATATAAGATTCATAATTATCTTAATCACGAGACATTATTGTCAAGCGATCGATTATGATAATTGAACCAAGCGATAGTTACTTTTATGAAATAGGCTGTAAGCCCGGTGGCTTTGACAGTTTCGTAGTATGTGGTCCATGGGTAAACGACACACGGACTCAGAAGAAACAACGTAGCTTATGCACAACAAAGACACGCTGACACCATGTACTCACGCATACACCATGTGAACGAAAGCACTGTACTTTCTGTAGTATTACTTTACTCTATGACTGTACTGTAGTCCTGTGTACAATTCTACTAAGAAGGAGGGGAGGTCATTACATGATCCTCGTGTTGCAAGACGCTTTTGAACCGCGTATATCGTATTATAATTATCTACAGCCGAGAAATCTATGTACATACTTAGTTTTTATTTTTATTATTACATACTATTTTACAATACATTCCGTTTATTTACTTATGAATACACAACATTCTAACTACTAATTAGTTAATACTACTATTATAAATTAATAAAAATTATCAACGATAACGAACTGTTGCTTTTCTAATGCGACGCATAGTGTTCGATTTTTTTTAGTAAAGGCCCAGGCCCACCGAAAAATAATTCTAGATACGCCAATGTTCTTAATGGAGAGTGCATACGATCGTCCACTCGTTACGAAACTACTTAATTACGAAACTACTAAATATCTTTATAAGATGGTTTTCCTACATCCATTATTTTCGTAATTCTTATGTTTCGTACATAATTTAATTATTTTAAAGTATTGCATCAAGTATTGAGTCATTTTTCTCATGATTAGGTATACATATTTTCAAACAATTCAAAATTTGTAAAATAGAAAATACATGAAGGAAATAGTTGAAGAGATTTTTAATTTAACGATACGCGAGGAAGATATGCAAAGAATATCTAATAGCATTAAACAGTTATACACGAAACCAGAGTTGGGTTAAAAATGTATTGAAATTGACACGAATTCGATAGTCTAAAATAAATATCGAATACCGATATATCGCGGTAAAAAATATCGCCGATATATATCGATACTATAACAAGCTAGCGTTACTTTACAACCATGACGCATGGATTAGGTTTATTAGATATATGTAACTCTAGATGATTTAATCTTGTAAATATTAGAGTCGTTTAAAGTAGGTACTTATAAAATAAATTGTTTATGAATTTAATACAGAAAAAAGATAAGTGGATATCGTTAAATGTATACAAAAATATCGATATTTTGCCATGCCTACTAAGAATGAATGTCATTGGATATCATGTCATTGCTAGGGATGAAAGTAAAAAATATATCCGTATTTATCTTATATTTATATTAAACCATCGATAATTATCGAGTGAAAAATATCGATAAACCGATATACCGATAAATTTTTTAACGTTTTTTTTTATTATTTACATTTCCCAACCATTCAAAATACGTGAAAAAGAATAGACATGAAGAAAAAAATTATATTTATTAATAATTGTGACTCATTGAACGACGCAACGTTAAATGAAATCGTGCCAACTGACATAAGTATCACGGTAAAGGTCTTGTTACGGCTTAAAGGTCTTGTTACCAGGCCATTTATAATCTTTATTTTATTAAAAAAAAAGGTATTATCTTGCACGCATCTACCTAAATGTTAAACACCAAAACAAAGTTGCGTTAAAAAATATATCGAAATTGACACGAATTCGATAGTCGAAAATAAATATCGAATATCGATATATCGGTAATAAAAATATCGACGAAATATATCTATATTTATTTGGGAAAAAAACGATATTTTTTGCCCATGCCTAGTCATTGCTAATAAATAAACTTCTGTATTTCAATAATCTTAAATTGGAATTTAGAATAAAACTAACATAAAATAATATAAGCTCTTAGGCTGTATTATAAAGCTTGCTAATTTGTTTGTTAAAAGTTGAATTTATGATGTATGTAATTATGATTGGCAGTTATAATTGGTTGTAATAAATTTAATTAAGAGATTACGTAAAAGAGATTTTATATATTGAGGATTTAAGTGAACACACCTATTAAGTTCATTGTTCATCGTTCAGAATTAGTTTTAGTATGGAGTTAAAGTGCAAAGTCCAAAACTATGATTGGGGAAAATTAGGTCAAGATAGTATTGTTGCTAAATTACTGTCAAGCAGTGATCCTCATGTTGAAATTAACAGTAATACACCATATGCTGAACTCTGGATGGGAACACATCCAAATGGGCCATCTCTGATTATAGAGAGGAACATACTTCTCTCCGAATATTTAAAAGATAATGTTGATGCAATTGGTCCTGTTGTTAAAAGAAAGTTTGGTATAACCGTTCCTTTTCTTCTTAAAGTATTATCCATTCAAAAATCTCTATCAATACAGGCTCACCCCAAAAAGGTACTCTTAATATATATTTACAATTTGTTGTATCAATTATTTTCTTCTTACTTTATTCCCATTTTTTAATTGGCTTGTTTTTAATTGGTATAAGGAACATGCTGAACAATTACATGCCTCTTTTCCTGATATATACAAAGATCCAAATCATAAGCCAGAGCTTGCAATAGCTTTAACTCTTTTTGAAGCACTTTGTGGTTTTAGACCTATTCAAGAGATTAAGGAATTTCTTAAAAGTAAGTATTAATGATATGGTTAAGAAGTTTTGCTCAAAATTAGATACAACCATTTTAATCATAAATATAGCTCTTGCCACTAATATCCAGCTATCCTAATATATAGCAAGGTACAAAAAAGGAACCTTAATTTGTATTGATTACATTGGGTAACAATCTTTAAACATACTATCCATATATTTTCAGAATTACCGGAACTCACAGAAATTCTATCAAAACCCAGTGTAGAGGCTTTGTTAAGTTATGAAGCAGGTGATGCAGAATTGTTGCTCAAACAAGTATTTGAGTCATTGATGACTTGTGATAAAAGTGTTGTAGCTAAAAGTATTGAAGCACTTATGAAAAGGTTAACTAATGCAGGTATATCGGTTTGCCACCACACAATTCCATAATAATATTTTGTAATATGTTATTTTTAAAGAGTAAAAAACACAATAGCAAATGTCAATTGAATCACCTTGAAGTACTAAATATGTAGTGCAGTTGCACCAAATATAGATTCCACAGTTCCTAGTCTTGACAAAAGGCTAGGAATTGTCAAGAAAATATACTTTTATGTTACAATCAGTTTGTTGCAGTTTTTTTGATTAAACAATTATTTTATGACCCTTTTTTAATTTTATGACACTTATATTACAGATTCATCACTTCAGTCTGCTTTGCTGTATAAAACATTACAAAAACTTAATTCCGAGTTTCCTGGAGATGTAGGGTGTTATGCACCTTACTTCATGAATCTCATGCAATTGCGCCCAGGAGAAGCCATCTTTCTAAAACCTAACTTACCACATGCTTATTTAAGTGGAGGTATTAAAATTTTGAAGACACCCTTTTTTCAATACTTAATAATAAGTAATAAATAGTCAGTAATTATTGTTAATAAAAATGCAATGCAAATGGTACATGCAATAAAAAACTAAAACAAATTATTAATGAACATGATCTCCTTTGTATATTTAAGAGAAAAATAAATGATGATGCATTTAGGTTGTTGCATGCTGTCAGATCTGCTCCTAATAGGTTTAGGAACATTTTTACAGCAAAAAAAAATATTGTTTTATACAAAAACTCTTTTCCATGTAAAAAGGTTGTTACGATTCTCCCTTGGGATAAAGTTTAAACTTTATGAAATCTGGATAGAAATGATGACGAATAGCACTAGTCAAAGGAAGTGGTCAAAAACATAATTAAATTTATTTTTAGTATTGATCACAGTCATTTAAGATGAAACTTAAAAATGTATAGATAAACCTGTTGCAAATTTTTAGCTGCCAGTGCAACAACTATAAATTTTACTCAGGCCTTCTGTGCATTACACTTCCAGACCCTCTAACCACTATGATAAGCGGTTGACACAATAGCAATGAGAAAATCTCTTAACTACTTTGTATTGCATTTTTAGCATTGTTTGGTGTTATGTGAATTGCTTTTACAGCAGTTAGTCCTTTACAGCAAGCACACTTTCTCAAAATACATTTTTACAATGAATATTTGAAAAATTATTTTAATATAAAAATTTCAGAGTTCTTAAATCTCAATCATGCATAAGTCATAAATTTACATTAAATATTAAACTGTACAATTTTCAAATTATTTCACCCACAGATTGTATTGAGTGTATGGCATGCTCTGATAATGTGGTCCGAGCAGGGCTCACTCCAAAACATATTGACGTCACAACCCTCATTGACATGTTAGACTACTCTAGTTATTCTCCAAGTGACCTCTTGTTCAATCCAAACTTAGAAGACGAAAATAGTTGCATTTGGAGACCACCAGTGCCAGATTTTGCTGTTGTAAAAATAAGGGTTAGTGGAGTTATATATACAGCGTGTCGTTACAACCGCGACAATAAATGAACACACGTCTAACGCTACTTGCTATTGGCATCATAAAAAAATATAAACGTTAAAAAACCATAACAAAAAAAATATTTGGCAAACAAACTAATTAAATAAAAAAACAAAATTTGTAACACCTATACAACTACAACTGACTGATTGATACATTCAGAGACTTTTTTATTTGTTGCTGCAGCGTCGCATTACAAATCTCTCCTTCTAACAGTATGTTTTATCTCTTTTAAATTCATTCAACCCATTCATATGCTTTGTGACCTTTGTGAACTTTATGTTACAATGTCATACCTAAGGATGTTCTAAAATTTTTTGTTTTCGAAAATTTAATAACTCGGTAAATATTGATGTTTAAAGAATGTAAATGTTTAATACAATTTTATATGTGCGTTCATTTATTGTTGCGGTTGTAACAATATGCTGTATACAACTTATGTACTTAATTCTTACTATGTATCCGAAAATAGTTTGTTTGTTTGTTGTGAATATATGCATTTATAATTTTTCAAGTAATATGTGCCATATTTGTTTAGATATAAATATTTTTATTTACTAGATATCTGAAATAATACTGGAAAATATTTCAGCATTTTAACTGTTAGTAGTATATGTCAATTGTTTATTGTGCATTATTTTAAATAGATGCAGAAAATGTAAATAAATTGTAGTAGATAAACAGAATTTATGGTCCAAGAAAAATATGACGAAAAAGTGTTTGTAAAAAATATCTGACATCAAATGTTTCTTTACCATTACAGGTTCAAAGTGATTCTTACAACACAATAATAAGAGCAAGCCCAAGCCTTATTATTTTCATATCCGGAGAAGGAGAGGCGTGTGATACAGAGCCAGTACAGGTCAGACCTGGATCCGTTTTGTTCCTCAAGGCTAGTCGACAGCTGACCATCACATCTAATCCGGGCAAACATCTAGAAGCATATCAAGCTATTTGTAATGTATGATTTGAAAAAGCTCAGTCTCCATTATAAACTTATCATATGGCAATATTTACTCTCATTTCTTAACTTTAAGATATTTAACAAATAAGCTTTAAGATAAAAGAACACTATAATACATAACAAGAAATTATTTTTTTAATTTGTATAGAATATTTTGTGATTTTACCATTGTTAGTATTAAATAAAAATTGATTTATATTCGCGCTGTGAGGTAATCGGCCGCTTAGATTAGTTAGTAAAGCGGCGAAAGTTTTTGTCCATTTATCTTCAAAATTTTACAATATAAAGTTTCATCTTTAGTGCATAGACTCGCACTAAAAATAAAAATCATTCTTAAATATTTTTAAGAGCAATGGCGACATCTCTCGTTACAAATATACATCGTTGAATGTTATTTCTAAGGTGTTGTATGCTGTAAAGCATGCACACTAGATCACGCCAAGCATTGCTAAAATTTCAATAGAACGAATGTAGATAGATGTTAAGATTTGCGCCACGTGAGATCATCGGCCGCATACCTTATTTGGTAAAGCTTCTGGGCGCGAAACCAGAAGACACAGGTTCGAATCCCGCAGCGCTGAAATTTGTTCATTGATCTACAAAAATTTACAATTTAAAAATTATTTATATTAGTTTGAGTAATGAGATAACTTGTTATTTGATGGAATTAAGGAGCTTATTGGGATATAAGTGTTGCACTATATTTTGATATAAATTGCCATATACAAATGATATACATTATTAAGGTATTATAAATAGTATTTGTATTTTGTATTATGTTTCACGAACTTGGTGTTTTGCAATCATTCAAATTGTATAGTAAATTTATTGTTCCTATTATATATTAAAATTTTTATAAATACTTAAACAAGCTTTTTCAGCTTTATTATTATTAACCCCAAACTAATCGGTTCAATACTTTCTGAGGTCACCAAACAAAAGGACAAGGCCTTTTACATTGTGATCATAGATATAAAGATTGAGATGCACGTTGAGCAAACTTTCATCTGCAATAGCTTCGTCACCGTTAGCAGCTCGTGACACTTCGGCGGCCTTCTTAGCCTCTGATGACAGCTTCGCCGAGAACAAGTGGAACAGCGCTGGTGACGAGGCGTCCAAGCGGACGCCTCCTCTCGCCAGTTTGTTGGCACGCTAGCTTTCTGCGCGGGAAAGTTCCCGCCCGCTCTTTAGGCCCTCCGTCTTTCGTGATCAATCCCCTCTCCTACTTTTACGTTTCTGGAATAAAGATAATTACAAATTGCTGCAAGTTAGGATTTATATAGAGTAGAGCCCAGTTTCCTCAATTAACCAGTGCCTCGATGGCGGCCTTTATTATTATTTTACTAGGCGGTTAATAAAATGAAGGCACTATAATGGGCTGATGTCCTGTCACAGCCTATTAAGATACGTACGCTTCAATATTAACGATGTGAGTGGGCCGATCCTAATGCAATAAAGACACTTCGACGCAGACAAGGCTTGAGCCCAGATTGTTGCGAATTATTTTATAATGCCACAGGTTGTGGCAACAATCTGCTAGGATGGAGTGCATAAAGCGCATCTCTTGCACCTAATTTTTTTTATCGGGGGGAAAATCTTCAAAAGATACCTGAAAAACGAAAGATACATAAACCTCTCATCCCGCACATGACAAGGTTATGTAGGTTTCGTACCCACTAAAACCCCCTCGGCGGCCACCATCTGTACGATTGGAGAGACTCCGGGATCTCTCCGGGAATGCACCTGTGTCTCTCGGCACTCCTTATGAGTACGCTGCGTAGAACGATGAACTTCGCGCTGCTGATACTCCGTGACCCTAACGTCCCCTTTAAGTAGACTTTACGAAAGGCAAGCCTTAGTTCTATTCTACGAGCCCGTGACTACAGGGCTGGCGTCTTTTGCACCTAACGCACGATGAGATCACTTAAATTTTGTCCCTTCTGTTTAAGCCTTGTCAGGGCAGCCAATACTGTTTACTTTATTAAGATAGCAACTTTATTCGAATTGATTCGGGATATCTTAAAAAAGGTAAACTCGCACTTTAGATAACAAGATTTACGTTCTAGTCCCTAGAGCTAATATAATATGTGAAAGAGTTCATCATACGGGTTTCCTTATAATGATACCACCCTTGGGATATCTCCTTTGTAACAAAAAAAGAATCATCAAAATCGGTTCATAAACGACGAAGTTATCCGCGAACACAAATAAAAAAAATATATGTATACGTGAAACTAATTTTACGTATTTATCGCGTTTATTTTCATTGCATTCATTGACATTTATCTTTTTTATTATCACAATAATACTATCCCATGTAGAAATAACGTTACACCCACAAAGTTTCAGATTTTTATTTTATTTTATTTATTTGGTTTACCAGTAATTGTTACATTTATACATTCATTAGAATTAGTACACAGTATATTTCTATAGCTAAATGCACAATTAATTAAAGGTAAACACCACATGCGAAGTAAACAGACACAAAATAAAAACACACAGATAAAAATACTCAGACCTTGATAAAAAAATCCGTAAATATTCATAAAAATATTTATTTTTGGAGGGAATCGGGCCTACAGCAATCGAACCAACACCAATAACTACTGTATCAACTACGTCGTTGAGATCATATTATGTTCCGGAACATAGATCGTATTGAATAGTCATTTTGGAGAAAGAAAATAACGGAAGCCAATGAATTGCTTCCAATATGGCGTAAATAATCGTAATTGCGACGGAATTTGTAAGTTTAACCTAAGCAATAATTTCACGCCCAATCGGTCCATTGCTACATTTAAAAAGTTGGCTGCGACGGGTTACTGTAGTGACGGGTCAGTAGACATGCCGGTAATCGTAAATATTCCTCAACTGTCTATTACCTAAGTTATTTCACAAAACCTCTCACCTAGATAGACCATGGTGAATTATGAATTAAATGTCCCGGATAGTGGTGATTAAACAACAATGTTTGATCTCTTGGAATTTTAAATTTCACCAAAAGGTTTAAAAGAAATTATTAAATTCGGTTTGAAAAGTTATAAAAGACAAGGCAAGGTTATATTCACTTTAAATTAATTTAGGGCGTTACAAAAGATAATTGCAGTTATAGACAATATTTTCAAGAAATACTTCTAAAGAATAAAAGGAACTGTATTAATAATAAATATGATTAGTACCTAAACAAATCAATGCAAATAAATATAAAATGTTTGGTTAGAATTCGTATCACCGTTTCATAATATAGTTTCCCTTTTTATAAGGATATCATAATGAGGTCACCGTTACCGTTTGCAAATCGCCGGAGTCCACATTTTTACAAGGAATCTTTCTTTTAAGGATATCTTAAATTAAGGATATATTTCTATGAAGGTATCTTTAATTAATTATCTGTAACGCTTACAGTATTTGTCACGCATTTATCTCATACAAACAGAATTCCAATAGTGTGGGGTGACTCCATTATTGAAGAGGAATTTATCAATGAAACCTATAATTTGGTTGGAACTCAATGTTGGTTTGGTTAATCTTTGATTATAAACTTTTCTAGGTGAAGCAATGCTTAATAAACGACGCGCTAATACCGTATCCGATTGCGTGATATGTGTGAGTGCCGTTCGTGTACTTAATACTTATTGTAAACAAAAGGTGTGTGTGTTTAGGGATGCCCGCTCCAAATCATTAACTTAAGTTTTCTCCATTATTTAATAAGGTGAAGATAATAATAAAAACAAAATAGGTCCGTAGGAAACCTGAAACCCAAAATAAAAGAAAGAACTAACAAAAATAATATTTAGTGAATGACGTCATGGATTTCATTTGACTGATCAAATAAATAATTTAATTTTTAAAATTATAGTCAATACATCCTCTTTGGGTCGCTGAGCCAGCCAAGTAGTAGTAGTAGTAGTAATTTTTAAAATAAAAATGTTCTGATCGAAAGAGCATGCAATGATATTTGTATTTTGTCTCTCAGTGTCCAAAAAACTTCCTTGTAATAAACTGAAAACACCGACTAACCAAACTAACATACGAAATAACGGAAAAAAAATTGTGTTGTCTCAAATAATTAAAAGTGGTTAAACAAAACTTACCGATGAAAAGTGATCTTCTCAGTCTCAATTATATGATAATACTATCATATAATTGAGACACGATTTCATATCATCAAACTCGCAATCATAATCGGAGCTAGCGTCACTGTTGGCGTTTTAACAGGCCCGCGTGGAAATCTAGAGATGCTAGGACCTGTGTATGAGACCGTGATTTTTGTTTTCTTTACCTTTTCCAAACTCGGGAGAGAGCGATTACAAGGCCGAACACCCGGACACTGAGCTTGGATAAAAGTCTGACATACAAAAGACCATTTCATTTAGAACACGTACTGCATAGTTATTTGCAGTCCATACTTGTTCAGAACAAATATGTAAATGACAACTGCAATTTCGACATAGGGCTTTATGGACTCAAGTCCATATAAAACGTCTGAACTCGTTCTTCCATCTCACAGGTAGGGCGCGTACAGAGTTAAAACGGATATGTTCATAACTCGATTGGTTATAAAAAATCCCTTGACCAGTAGTCACATTACGGTTAACATTCAAGTTTAAATGTTGCAATAATCACCTCGAAACCCGTTATGCTTCCATTATTTCAAAACGGTAACGTCATTTATAAACTTCAATATATAACAATATAGGTATATGAAATATTATGATATAATATTTCTTTGTGTGAAAAGACTTTGTACTATTATTATAATATGTAAATATTATAATTTTTATTAATCTAAAATCGTAACAGTCATTCGCTTTGTTCGGAAGCTGTTTTATGTTATTTATATTTATGCATTCTTCCTAAGGTTCCCGTGCCCAAAGTCTTTTGTCTGGCTATCTGTCTGTCCATCTGTCCGACTGTCACCAGGCTGTATGTCATGGGCCGTGATAGTAAGACAGTTGAAATTTTCACAAATGATGTATTTCTGTTGCCGCTATAACAAAAAATACTAATATTAATAACAAAAAATAAAAAAAAACAGAATAAAAAACATTTAAATGGGACTCCCATGCAAGAGACATGATTTTTTTTGCCGTTTTTATAGATATGGTACGGAACCCTTCGTGTACGAGTCCAACTTGCACTTGGCCGGCTTTATAAAATATAATTCTCAATATAAATAAACTATTTATATTTTGACAAGATACCGATTACCATATTCATTAGATTTAAAATAAAAAAACAATCTAACTATTTTCTGTCAATCCATATTTTTAAAAAGAAGATAAATAATAACATAGATTCTTGTTGTTTTGTTTATAAACATATTTATTCTGTTCATAAATCTTGTTCATAAAAAAAATGTTTTCAAAATGTAGGTCGCCAACGGAAGATCTATGGTAATTTGGTCTAGCGGTTCCGTTAGATAAACAATTCTTTCTAAGTTTTCGAAACAACGTTACATTACATTAAGCAAATTACAAGGTGTCACGGTTGTCAAAGCGAAAATTGCGGTTCTATCATCGTGCAAAACTCCAAGTGGCAAACAATTGAATATTTCTGATGAAACCTTAAAGAAATATTTGGATCGCGAAGTCATTTCAATTACAGATAACACTTGATATATGGCCATCAATTTAATAACAACGGTGAAAAGCAGATTTATTTGTATGCAATGTGAATACTACATCCTTTTAAAAGTATTCTTTTAATTGATATCCTATAAAAGTCTTCTTCTTATGTCGTTATCTTCACTGTTGAAGTAAATGATGGGATCTCTTTGCTGCGAAATATGTAGGCTAGCCCATAATTTTCGATTATGATTTGCTTGTAATCCGTCATTTACGGCAGGCATCAACCCAATTCTATTAGACTGTTCTGGCGTTATAACTTGGGTATTTTATTGCACAATATGTGTTAATAATTAAGTATATTAACACTATAAAAATTACGGTATTTTATATTGAAAAAATTTAAAGCTCAGCAAAATAATTTTTTCAAGTGTATTACAATTTTCTTAGATATTGTTGATATGTATCCTGTAAATAGTGTTGCCTTAGCAAAAATGTAAAGTTATGGTTACTGTATTTTAATACATTGATTACGTAAAAGTTGATCAACAAAATAGAAGTTGAGAGCTCGCGAGAATCGAAT